AATATTGGGCCAGGCTCGATGGCTCACACCTGTAATCCTAGCACTTTGGGAGGCTGAGGTGGGTGGATTACCTGAGGTCAGGAGTTCAAGGCCAACCTGGCCAACATGGTGAAACCCCGTCTCTACTAAAAATACAAAATTAGCTGGGTGTGGTGGCACATGCCTCAGGAGGCTGAGGCAGAGAATTGCTTGAACCCAGGAGGCAGAGGTTGCAGTGAGCCAAGATCGCACACCACTGCACTCCAGCCGAGGGAACAGAGTAAGACTCCATCTCAAAATAAAATAAAATATCGGGCCAGGTGCGGTGGCTCACGCCTATAATCACAGCACTTTGGGAGGCTAAGGTGGGCAGATTACCTGAGGTCAGGAGATCAAGGCCAGCCTGGCCACAATGGTGAAACCCCGTCTCTACTAAAAATATAAAAAATTAGCTGGGGGTGGTGTTGCATGCCTGTAATCTCAGCTACTCAGGAGAATGACGCAGGAGAATCGCTTTAACCCAGGAAGCGAGGTTGCCCTGAGCCATCGTACTCCAGCCTGGGCAACAAGAGTGAAACTCTGTCTCAAAAAAAAAAAACAAAAACAAAAATGAATGACATGACATAGAGTACATTCAGAAAGTTGTGCAACTATTACCACAACCCATTTTAGAACATTTTCATCATCCCAAAAAGAAACCCCAGACCAGCCGGGTGTGATGGCTCAGGCCTGTAATCCCAGCACTTTGGGAGGTCAATGCAGGCAGATCACTTGAGGTCAGGAGTTCGAGACTAGCCTGAGCAACATAGTGAAACCCCATCTCTACTAAAAATACAAAAAATTAGCCAGGTGTGGGGGCACATGCCTGTAATCCCAGCTACTCAGGAGGCTGAAGCAGGAGAATCGCTTGAACCCAGGAGGCGGAAGTTGTGGTGAGCCGAGATCGTGCCACTGCACTCCAGCCTGGGTGACAGAGCGAGACTCTGTCTCAAAAAAAGAAAAAAGCCAGGCATGGCGATGCATGCCTGTAATCCCAGCTACATGGAAGGCTGAGGCAGGAGAATCGTTTGAACCTGGGAGTCGGAAGTTGCAGTGAGACGGGATTGCATCACTGCGCTCCAGCCTGGGCAACAAAGCAAGACTCAATCTCAAAAAGAGAAAGAGAAACCCCACTAGTAATCACTCCCTATTCCCTCCATCTTCTGGAAACCGCCAGTGGACTTTCTATCTCCATGAAGTTTCCTCTGCGGGACACTCAAAATGAATGGAATCATACAGCGTGTGCCCATGAGTGTCCAGCCACTTGGCTGATCATCTCAAGATTCGTCCACAGCGCAGCACATGTCAGAACTTCGTTTTCTGGCTAAAACATATCCCGCTGTGCCCATTGTTTATCCACTCATCTGATGGACTTTGGGCTGTTTCTGCCTTTTGGCAACTGTGGCTGGTGCTACTGTGAACATTCATGAGCAATGTTTTGTTTGAACACTTGTTTTCAGTTCTCTGGGGTGTATCCCTGGAGTGGGCTTGCTGGGACATGTGTTCTGTGTAACATACTGAGGGGCCAACAAACTGTTTTCCACCGTTAGGGACATGGTCACTGCACTGTCCAGCCCCACAACCACGCTCTAGGCTCCCATGTGGTCTCAGCCTCGCCCACACTTGTTATTTTCTGTTTTTGATCATGCTCATCTTAGTGGGCATGAGGTGGCATCTGACCCATTGCTGGTGGACCCTTCCTTATACCTGTCAGGACCAGGGTGGCCCCATCTCGATGCAGGTGGCCCAGAAGCAGAGGCCCAGCACCTGCTAACCCACAGGACCCGCCATTCCTGGAGCTGCTGCCAGACTCTGGGTGCTCAAAATTATGGGTGGGGAGTCTCAGGTGTAGAGGCTAAAGCTGCCCCAGGGGGTGGGGAGTGTGAGGACAGAGCCAGTTGGTGGAAGTCAAGAGAAGGACCTGGGTGTGAGCAGCTGCGGAGACTCCGGAGCCCCGTCCCTGGCATGGGGTTGCAGCCTTGTCAGTCACCTGTTTGCAGCAGGAGCCTCAGAGGAGAGTGGATGGGGAAGGTGGACAGAAGGGCAGAGAGGTTTGGGGAAATCTTGGGTTTGAGTCCCTTCTTGCGTCTGCTACCAGTGTTGAATAACCAAAACATAAACTCATTTCGGTTCAACAAGCAGACTAAATAGCATGACAGCAGACGTCAGAGAATAGAACACGCATGTTCTTCTCCTGTCCTGGAATTCCATCAGCAATCATAACTGCCACCCGTGCCGTGCACTTTCATGCCTGGGCTCTTGTAATCCTGCAACAGCCGTCTGACAGAGGCAGAGTCACTGCCCCACTTTAAAGAAGAGGAAGTGGGCTGGTTGCGGTGGCTCATGCCTGTAATCCCAGCACTTTCGGAGGCCTTGGAGGGCAGATCATGAGGTCAGGAGATTGAGATCATCCTGGCTAACATAGTGAAACCCCATCTCTACTAAAAATACAAAAAGTTAGCTGGGTGTGGTGGCTCGCGCCTATAATCCCAGCTACTCAGGAGGCTGAGGCAGGAGAATCGCTTGAACTGAGAGGCGGAGGTTGCAGTGAGCCAAGATCATGCCACTGCACTCCAGCCTGGGCAATGGAGCAAGACTTCATCTAAAAAATAAATAAAAAAAAATAAAGGAGAGGAAGCCGCAGCACAGGGAAAGGTCACAGGTCTTGCCCAGGAAACGCCTCAGAGCCAGGGTAGTGTGCAGCCAGCTGGAAGACAGCATCACACTCCAGACTTGGAATAACAGGTGCCCGGGGGAGAGGCCTCCTCCAGACAGGTTCCTGCTGGACGCTGAAGTCCAGCCTGGGCTAGCCTTCTCTGCTGGGGTGTGGGCGGGAGAACACTCCAGGATGGGACCTGAGTCTGAAGCTACTGCCCCTGGCCAGCCCCACAAGTGGCCTTTATTTTTTATTGATTTATTTTTGAGAGGGAGTTTTGCTTGTTGCCCAGGCTGGAGTGCAATGGTGCCATCTCGGTCACCAAAACTCCTGTCTTCCCATTCAGGAGATTCTCCTGCCTCAGCCTCCGTAATAGGTGGGATTATAGGCATGTGCTACCACACCCAGCTAATTCTGTATTTTTGGTAGAGACAGGGTTTCTCTATGTTGATCAGGCTGGTAGCAGACTCCCGACCTCAGGTGATCCGCCCACCTTGGCCTCCCAAAGTGCGGGGATTATAGGTGTGAGCCACCACGACGGCCCACACATGGTCTTTAAACTGAGCCTACGACAGAAGAACAGATGTGGATTTCTGAGTGAGCAGAGAGCTAAGGGCAAATCTCAGCTCCTCCATTAGTGCTCCTGAACCTCAGTTCCCCTCCAGGGAAATGCTGCAATCTGCCGTGTGTGTGTGTCTGTGTGTGTGTGTGTGTGTGTGTGTCTGCTGCAGGGAGCAGGGGGAGGCTGTGGAGTGGGCCTGTGTTAGGAACACTACCTGCCTCCCTCCCTCTTTGAGAATGTCCCCAGCCCAGGCTGACCTCCAGGGCACCCCAGCCTGATCTTAGGCCTTGTGGTTTACACAGGGGTGCCCTTACACCCATCAAATGCACCTGGCAACAGCTCTCAGGGCTGTTTGGTCTCTCTCAGTGTTTTGCAAGAGCCCAGACCCAGAAAGCACGGCTGGGACTTTCTCCCTAAGCTTCTCGCTCAGCCTGGGGACTGGTCCCTGTGGGTCAGGGGTCCGAGGCTCAGGCGGCATCCTGGCTGCAGCCATGACCCTGCAGCCTCTGCTCTCCTGCCCCACTCAGTGCTGTGGGCTCCCCACTGCCCTGAATTAGGAGGAGCTCTGGAAGTTCTGCTTGTCCTGAAACGCAAAACTAGTTTCACATCTTTAAAATGGGCATCATGGCACCCAACAGGCTGCAGACCCGATGGTAAAAGGGGAAGTCTGCCCTGCCGACTGGTTCTTGTGTGTCATTTGTCATTTCCTTTCTTTTGTCCACCCCCCCACCCCCCCACCCCCCCCCACCCCCCCCACCCCCCCCACCCCCCACCCCCACCCCCACCCCCGCCACCACAGCGGGAAGCCTCCTGAGCCCCTCCTGTCCTCCAACCTCCAGCGTAGATTTCCCACAGGAACCCTGTTCTGCCCCCAGTATCCTGAGCCTAGGAAGTGGACGGGGGTGCCCTCCAAGGTGAAGCCAGGCGCCCTTCCTGGCATGAAGCGCCCCAAGCAGAGGCCTAGCAGGCAGCCACCCGACCCTTGGCCTCCTCCCCCAGTGGCGGCTGGGGTAGGTTCTTGGGGGTCCTGGGCAGGGGCCAGCAGCCAGGCTGGGGCAGGAGGAGATCCAAGACCTCACCTCTGGCCCCTGTGATCTTCTAAAGTCGCAGCTCCCTCTTTGACTCCAGTGCCAGCAGAAGCGGCCCGGAATCTGCCCACCCCGGCCCGGGACTGGGTGACTCTGCCGCGGCGCCTTGCAGGGGCGCGCGGTCCCTCCCACCGGTCTCCGAGGAAGCCAGGACCTCGCGCCCCACCTGTCCGCTTCTCCAGGGGGCCCTGGCGCCGCTGCTGCCTGGCCCTCGGCTCGAAGCCCTGTGTCCGCCGCCGCTTTGATCCCGGGGGGCCCTGCTGGATAAAAGTCCCTGGCGGCTCCGCGCCAGCGCCAGAGGGGGAGCGCAGCCGAGCCGGGCGCACCAGCGGGACGGCGCAGGGCCAGGGCGCTGAGAGGCTGGGGCCGCTGGGTCGCCCGCGCTGGCCGCGGTGAGAGCGGGGCCCCAGGGCTGCTCCGGGTGGGGAGATGTGGGCCGGGGTCTGAGTCCCCCACGGCCCGCTCTGGGCCTGGGCGGTGGGGGATGGGAGGGACTCTGGCTGCTCCAGGTGAGCGCGCCCTCCCCGCGCCCCCAGTCCGTCGGGCGCGGCTAGCTGCGCCGCAGGCGGAGTTCCCCCCATCCCCCTCGGCGCGGAAAAGCCTCGCCCCTCCCCGTCGCCACCCCCCACCCGCCGCCCCTTCCAGCTGCCCCGGGGCGGGGGCGGAGGCGCCGGGCTGGCCGCGGTGAATGGAGCCGCCGGGGCCGCCCGGCCGCGCTGCCCCCCACGGAGCCGGGCCGGGAGCGCCTCCGGCGGCCGCGGCGGGGTAGTCCAGGCCCCTCCGTCAGGCTTGCGGTTTGGGAAGAAAAGGCGATGCCTCCGCCAAGAAAAGAGCGAGAGCGGCCCCCTCCCCCCTCCGCCGAACCCGGGCGGCGGCGGCACATCTAACGCGCGGGCACCCGGGCCGCCGCGGCCCCCGCAAATACGCCCAGGCTCGGCCCCCGCCGTTCATTGGCGCGGGCCGGAGCCAGCGCACCCAGACCCTGCGCTGCCCTCGGACGGCCGGGCGCGAAGCCCCAGCAGCGGAGGCCGACGGCACCCGTCCCCGAGCGCCTCGACGCCCAACCACCCGCGCCTTCTCCGCCAGACCCGGCGGCCGGGAGCGGGGGCGAGCGAGCAGGAGCCGCCGGCACCCAGCGGCCCGGGCACCCCCGGCCCGGCACCCCCCGCCGCCACCGCCTCAAGGCCGCCCGCTGTCCGCAGGTGGCCGCGGACCCGAGCGGCGCGGCCATGGGCCAAGGGGTGCGCGTGCTGCTGCTGCTGCTGGGCCTGCTGCACTGCGCTGGGGGCGGCGAGGCCAGGAAGACCTGGCGGCGCCAGGGTCAGCAGCCGCCCCCGCCGCCGCCCCTGCCGCCACCACCCCCGCGGACCGAGCCGGCGCCGGCGGCTGGACAGCCAGTGGAGAGCTTCCCGCTGGACTTCACGGCCGTGGAGGGCAACATGGACAGCTTCATGGCACAGGTCAAGAGCCTGGCGCAGTCCCTGTACCCCTGCTCCGCGCCGCAGCTTAACGAGGACCTGCGCCTGCACCTCCTGCTCAACACCTCGGTGACCTGCAACGACGGAAGCCCCGCCGGGTAAGGCCCGCACCCTGCGCCTCCCTACCCCACCCCATAAGGCCCCCACCCGGCGCTTCGCTACCCCGTTGAGTAAGCCCGGCACCCTGAGCCTCCCTACCCAACCCGGTAAGGCCCGCACCCTGCGCCTTTCTGCTTCACCCAGACGCGCCCTGTCTCCGGCTGGACCCTCCCTACAGGCCGCGGCCGTTCTCTCCCCGGGGTGTGGGGGGGAAGGGCTTCCGTCGGGCGACCGGCGGTGCTGGCCCTGGGGAGGACTCAATTCGGTGACTTTTCGCGTGAAGAGCAGAGCCGCACTGGAAGGGCTGGTCCCCGGCCAGCTTGGACACTGCCCCCTCAGCCACCGGACCCAGCCGCTTTGCTCGTGTCCTTCGGTCCCTGGGCGAGGAGATGCAGCCCGAGAGTGCGCCTGGCTCCAGCGGGAACAGGCGACACCGGGGAGCGGGGAGAGTCCTACTGCCCCCCGCCCCACAGCCCCGAAGTAGATAAGAGACGTGACGCCAGGTGTCGGGGCGCGGCGGAGGCGCCCACGCGCTCAGCAGGCCGGGGACAGGCGTGAGACCCCGGCGTGGGGTCGGGCCTCTGCCTGAAGGCTCGCACGCCAGGTCGGCGGCGCCCGCACCCCTTGGAGCGTCCCGCGCCCCTGCCATGCGCGCTCCTTCCATGCGGGCGCGTTGCCCGCTTTGAGCGCCGCTGCGCGCCCCGGGAGGACTCTCGCCCAGACGCGGGCGCCGAGGTTACAGCAGGACCCGCGCCAGGCGGGCCGTGGGGATTTTCCACGGACCGCAGCCCGCGTGGTCCCTTCCCCGCCCCGCGAGCGCCACCTCCCGGGACCGCCGCCGTCCGCTGCGCTCCGCATGGGCCTGGCTGAGGGCGCCCTCGTGCGACCGTCGCGCGCGACGGGGAACAGGTGGCGTGGCCCCTCCGCCGGGGCTGGGCGCGGGGAAAGCGCGGCGGCTCTGCTGCCCGGGCCGACCGCTCGGTGTCCTCCTTGCAGCTACTATCTGAAGGAGTCCAAGGGCAGCAGGCGGTGGCTGCTCTTCCTGGAAGGTGCGCGTCCGGGGGCCGAGGCGGGGCGAGGGCGGGGGGGGGGGGGTCCCTGCGAGCGCTGGCCTGAGCGCGGTGGCGGTGTCCGCAGGCGGCTGGTATTGCTTCAACCGCGAGAACTGCGACTCCAGATACGACACCATGCGGCGCCTCATGAGCTCCCGGGACTGGCCGCGCACTCGCAGAGGTCAGCGGCGGGCCTCGGGGAAGGTGGCCTCCACCTGAGGTCCAGGAGAAAGCCGTGCCCGCTCCCTGAGCCCCAGCGAGGCCCCCACCCCGCTCATCGTACCCAGCCCCCGGCGCCCAAGTTCCTAAGAGCAAGGGGCGCCCTTCACTCTCGCCCTTTGGGGTCCATTCCACACTAGCATTTAATAGGCGCTCACGGTCCCGGGTGTCAAAGCGGGGATGGGGGTTGAAGTCAAGGTCAGACCTATTGTCGCAGCCTGGCCTGGCACCGTGGCTATGGTGGCTTCCCTGGGTAACTAAACCTGATGGTCTTCCACTCCCGGCAACCTTGGTTCAGGCCCGCAGCACTAGCACACCTCCCTTGCTGGGGCCAAGTAGGAGCCCAGTCCCCAGCCTGGGATTCCTGTCCCTGCGAAGCCTCCTCCCACTAGAAAGCCCCACCGCCTCTGTCCCCAGGCACAGGCATCCTGTCCTCACAGCCGGAGGAGAACCCCCATTGGTGGAACGCAAACATGGTGTAAGGGGGAGCAGGGTTCTGCCTGGAGAGGGTTCTTCCTGGGGGTTCTCCATGGGGGGGTTCCTATCCTGGGTTGGTCCTTCCGGGGGGGTGGGGGGGCGGTTCTGTCCTGGGATGGTCCTTCCTAGGGAAGTCATCCTGGGAGTCTTATCCTGGGAGTCTTTCTCTGGGAGGCCTGTCCTGGGATGGTCCTTCCTGGGGGTCCCTCATCATTCCTGTAGGCTGCCGGGCGGCCGGCACCGTGGCAGGCTCACTGTCGTGTGTTGCAGCTTCATCCCTTACTGCTCCAGTGATGTTTGGAGCGGGGCTTCATCTAAGTCCGAGAAGAGTGAGTCCTCGGCCTTCCCAGGGCACGGCAAGGCCCTGCAGGGCAGGGATGAGGGGGGACAAGGGGGTTTCTAGGGAAAAGCTGACACTCAGACTTGCCACACTCTCAAAGCCTTTGATAGTATGTCCCAGGGTTCCCACCCCATGCACCCACTGCCCGCTTGGCCAAGACTGTAGCGGGTCCTTATTTCTGAATATTCCCTAGGGAGGGGTCCCAGCGTGGCCTGGTGTACCCACCTTCCTCCAGTCCCGGACCCCTCTCCAGAAGATTCCCCCCAGTCCCCCAACAGAGCCAGATATCTTCTACCAGCCATTCTGGTGTAGGAGATGGTTCTCTGCCCAGCCCCCTACCTGAGGCCATCCCCTCTCTCTATTGCAGATGAGTATGCATTCATGGGCACCCTCATCATCCAGGAGGTGGTGCGAGAGCTCCTGGGCAGAGGGCTGAGCGGGGCCAAGGTGCTGCTGCTGGCCGGCAGCAGGTGGGCAGGGTGGGGTGGGTGCTGGAGGTGAGAGGCAAGGACCGGTGTGGAGGGCGCATGGAATGGGTGTGGGGTGGGGGTGTATGGGAGGTGAGGAGGGAGCGGAGCCTGTGCTGGTCTTGGCAGGTGGCTGGGAGGGTGAGAGGCTGGAGCTGGGAGAACTGGCATCACTGGGGACTCTGAGGTGGGCTCCAGAGTGCTGGGTAACTGGACGTTGTCCAGAGAATGCTTCTGGGCTCGATGGTTGCTGGATGTAGGGGAAGGTTTGGGCTGCAGGGACCTAGGTCGTTGGTTAGGGGTTGGCCATGGACTAACGCCCCTCCTCCAGGGCCTGGTAGGTGAGGATCACCCCTGTGGGTCTCAGTATCCCAGCAAGCATGCAGGAGACCCAGGGTACATACGGGGAGCAGATGAAGGGGCCTGAGGCCATGTAGTTTATCTTCATTTTCAGATAAACTAAGGTAAAGAGAGAGAGAGGAAGGGGAGGAGGGAGGGGAGAGGCTGGCCGTGTCAGGAAAGTGTGGTGACCTGCCAGCCTCAACGCCAGCCTGCGCAGGGTACCTGCCAGCCCCTCTGCCCCAGGACCCTGAAGGCCGTGGGTCTTGCACGGGAACAGTTAGACCGAGGGAGGCACGTGCAGTTCAGAACAAAGCAGGCTTCCTGTCACCCTCGGGGCATGGGCGGCTGAGGCTGAGCAGACTCTGGGGAGGTGAGTGCCTCTCTCCAGCCACCTGGGCTCACACCCGGCCCTTCTCGCAGCGCGGGGGGCACTGGGGTGTTGCTGAATGTGGACCGCGTGGCTGAGCAGCTGGAGGAGCTGGGCTACCCGGCCATCCAGGTGCGAGGCCTGGCCGACTCCGGCTGGTTCCTGGACAGCAAGCAGTATCGCCACACAGACTGCATCGACACCATCACGTGTGCGCCCACGGAGGCCATCCGCCGTGGCATCAGGTGCCCCAGCCCGGAGGGCCTGTCCCCGAGCTACAGCTCTGCCCCAAAAGGGCCTGGGTGGAGCAGCATCTGTGGGTGGGGAGCTCCAGGGGGCGAGGCCTGTGGCAGCCTAACCTGCAGCTGTGGCTCCAGATACTGGAACGGGGTGGTCCCAGAACGCTGCCGCCGCCAGTTCCAGGAGGGCGAGGAGTGGAACTGCTTCTTCGGCTACAAGATCTACCCGACTCTGCGCTGTGAGTGGGAGGTGGGGTGGAGCAGCGGGGCAGCTTCTGAAAATCCAGCATGGACTCTAGCCCCTTGGGCTGGGCTTGGAGACCACTGCCCTGGTCCAGGGAGGAGGCCGGCTGTGTGCCAGGGGGCCTTGTCACTGCGGTGTGCCTGGGACTTGCCTGCCCTCAGCACTCACACCCCCCAATCCCAGGCAGACCGGGACAGGTGGTCACCCTGTCTACACCCGTGGCTAGGGACATGCTTTGGAGCTAATCCCCAAGCTGCCCCTCCCTGCTGCAGGGCCCTGGCCTAGTTTCTCCCCAGCCCCTCACTCTGAGGAGTGGTGAGGTTGTATTCAAGTGAATCATCAGCAAATTTTAGTGAAAGTGGAGTTGCTGAGAAGTAGGCCAAGGTCATGGAGGGGTTAACAAGAGCCCTTTTTCAAGGAAAGATGTTTTATCTATCTGTTTGTGAACCTATGGATTATAAAAATGCTGGTTTAGAAGAAGGAAGCCACATTCTTAGGGACTGGTGACTGGCACCCTGGGGAGAGTCCAGCACTGGAAGGGACCTGGGGTGCTGAGCTCGGAGCCTGGGGTGGGGGGCAGGAGCCGGGGTCATGGGGAGGCCGAACTGAGCCCCGCCACCTGCAGGCCCCGTGTTCGTGGTGCAGTGGCTGTTTGACGAGGCCCAGCTGACTGTCGGCAACGTGCACCTCTCAGGGCAGCCCGTGCAGGAGGGCCAGCGGCTGTACATCGAGAATCTCGGCCGCGAGGTGCGCCACACACTCAAGGATGTGCCGTGAGTGCATGGGCCCCGGGAGCCCCTCCCTGGGCAGCTCACTCTTGATTTAAAAATAGAGGTTCTAGGCCAGACACAGGGGGGCTCACACCTGTAATCCTAGCACTTTAGGAGGCCCATGTGGGCAGATCACCTGAGGTCGGGAGTACGAGACCAGCCTGGCCAACATGGCGAAACCCCATCTCCACAAAATATACGAAACTTAGCCAGGCATGGTGGTGTGCACCTGTAATCCCAGCTATTTTGGAGGCTGAGGCAAGAGACTCACTTGAACTGGGAGGTGAAGGTACAGTGAGCCAAGATGGCACCACTGCACTCCAGCCTGGCTCTGTCTCAAAAAATATATATATAGAGAGAGAGGTCTTGGGTTTGGCATGGTGGCTCATGCCTATAATCTCAGCACTTTGGGCGGCTGGGGCAGCTGGATTGCTGGAGACCAGAAGTTCAAGACCAGCCTGGGCAACATGGTGAAACCCCATCTCTACAAAAATACGAAAATTAGCCAGGCATGGTGGCAGCACCTGTAATCCCAGCTACTCAGAAGGCTGAGGAAGTAAGATCCCTTGAGCCCAGGAGTTCAAGATTACAGTGAGCTAACCTTCCCTATGGGAGGCAAGCAAGCTTCAATTGTGGCACTACGCTCCAGCCAGAGCAACAGAACCAGACCCCCATTCAAAAGAAAATAAAAATAGTGTTCTGGATGGTAGCATAATATTTCCCTGTCTAGGACAGCCTCCTGCCCACGCCTGGGAGGCCCTGCCTGGAAGACGTGGACTCTGAGGAGGGATTTGTGGCACAAAGGGATAAGGGTCAGCTAGGAGCTGGCTGACTCCAGGGGAGGCTTGGGCCAGAGGAGCAGCTGGCAGCCAAAGCAACTGGAAAGGGCAATGGCCAGGCCAGGGACAGCTCTAGGAGAGGAGGGTGGGAAAGGGACTGAGGGGTGGGGAGCTCACGAGCTACTCTCTCCTCTCCAACAGGGCCAGCTTTGCCCCTGCCTGCCTCTCCCATGAGATCATCATCCGGAGGTCAGTGTCCCTGGGCTCCGGGCAGCTGGCGTCTGTGACATCAGCTTCAAAAGACCACAGGCTCCCCAACTGCACTTGGCCTCCCACGGGCCTCTTCTTGGCTCTGTGTATGGAATTTCCTTCTAGGGCTGCCAGAGCCACTTGTAGCAACATCTGTATGGCAAGAATTAAGACTCAGCCCCACCACTGCCGAGCAGTGGCTCACGCCTGTAATCCCAACTACTGGGGAGGCTGAGGTGGGAGGATCACTTGAACTCAGGAGGGTGAGATTGCAGTGAACAGTGATCACACCACTGTATTCTATCTAGCCTGAGAGGCAGAGGGAAACATTGTCTTAAAGAAAAAAAAAAAAACCAAGCCGGGCACAGTGACTCATGCCTGTAATCCCAGCACTTTAGGAGGCCAAGGTGGGCAGATCACCTGAGGTCAGGAGTTTGAGACCAGCCTGGCCAACATGGTAAAACCCTGTCTCTACTAAAATACAAAAATTAGCCAGGCACAGTGGCATGTGCCTATAATCCCAGCTACTCGGGAGGCTGAGGCAGGAGAATCACTTGAACCTGGGAGGCGGAGGTTGCAGTGAGCCGAGATTACACCACTGCACTCCAGCTCGGTCTCAGAAAGAAAACAGCTACCTCAGTGGTGATACCACTGCCCATGTGACCCCAACCCTGTTTTCCTCTGCAGCCACTGGACGGATGTCCAGGTGAAGGGGATCTCACTGCCCCGAGCACTGCACTGCTGGGATAGGAGCCTCCATGATAGCCACAAAGCCAGCAAGACCCCCCTAAAGGGCTGTCCCGTCCACCTAGTGGACAGCTGCCCCTGGCCCCACTGCAACCCCTCGTGTCCCACTGTCCGGGACCAGTTCACGGGGCAGGAGATGAACGTGGCCCAGTTCCTCATGCACATGGGCTTCGATGTGCAGACGGTGGCCCAGCAGCAGGGACTGGAGCCCAGCGAGCTGCTGGGGATGCTAAGCAGCGGAAGCTAGGCAGACTGTCTGGAGGAGGAGCCAGCACCAAGGGGCAAGGCCACCCGCTGCCCAGTGCCATCTCACCCCCCACCAGGCCCTCCCATCTCTTCAGGACAGGCCCCCAGCCATCCCCCTGCCTGGGTCTGCCCACCGGCCTCCCGGCCCTGGCTTTGCCTGCCCATCTCCCATGGTGTGTAAGAGGCCCAGCCAGAGACAGGGGATGTGCTGTCATCCCCAGCTGTGGCCCGAGAGCCCTTCCCGATGAGGGGAGCCAGAAGAAATGCGCTGGATTCCTCAGCCCACCAGCTCAGACAGCCCCCAACCGGCCCCACCCATCAAGCCCTTTTATATTATTTTATAAAATGACTTTTTTATTACTTTAATTTTTTAAAAAAGGAACAATCAAGAAATATATGATGAATGATATTGTTTTGTAACTTTTTTTAAATGATGAAAAAAAGATAAGAACCTCACCCTGCTGACGTGTTTATTTGAATGGGCAGTTCCACCTGCTTCACACCTCCTCTCCGGGACCCCAGGGCAGCAGGGAGATATAGGGAGGGGCCATGGGAACTCCCCAACTCTGACTTTTTCTTGATGCACAGACTCCGAGCAGTGTCTTCTGGAGGGGCCCTGCTTCCCTTCAACCCTTCACCAGATGCCCACTTCCCAGGGCGGATAGTACCAGCTTCATATCTTATTCATTTATTTTAGAGGCACGATCTCATTGTGTTGCCCAGGCTGGTGTACAGTGGCACAATCATAGCTCACTGCAGCCTCCTGAGCTCAAGCAGTTCTCCCACTTCAGCCTCCTGAATAGCTGGGACTACAGGCACCCACCACCACACCTGGCTAATATTTTAATTTTTTGTAGAGATGGAGTCTCCCTATGTTGCTCAGGCTGGTCTTAAACTCTGGGCTCAAGCAATCCTCCCCCCTCAGCCTCCCAAAGTGTTGGGATTATAGGCATGAGCCCCTGCACTTCGCCTCTTTTTATTTATTTTTTATTGAGAAGAAATTCACAAAGCATAAGATTATCCATTTCCAATTGAGCAACTCAGCAGCATTTGTCACATTCAGAGTGCTGTGTGACCCCTGGTTCTCTCTAGTTTCAAAAAAAAATTTTTTTTTTTTTGAGAGAGAGTCTCTCTCTGTCTCCCAGGCAGGAGTGCAATGGCACAACCTTGGCTCACTGCAACCTCCGCCTCCTGGGTTTAAGTCATTCTCTTCCCTCAGCCTCTGTGGATGACAGCCACGTGCCACCACGCCTGGCTAATTTTTGTTTTTTAGTGGAGACGGGGTTTCACCATATTGACGAAGCTGGTCTTGAACTCCTGACCTCAGGTGATCCGACTGCCTTGACCTCCCAAAGTGCTGGGATTACAGGCGTGAGCCACCATGCCCGGCCCCTAGTTTCAAAACTCTTACCAACCCAGAACACTTCCTACGCAGCTGACAATTCCTTAAACGTTTGCAGTTTATTTCTACTAGGTCATTCATGCACATGGTTCAAAATTCCAAAGATGCAGAAGGTATGAGGGTGAGAATGCCCATTTCCCACCCAGCTCCAGGCTCCCTAGCTCCGCTTCCAAGGATAAATAGGGTTATCTTGTGGATATTCCTAGAGATGAAAATTCCAGTAAACACATGCACACATGTACACGCGTTTTCTTTTTTTTTGAGACGGAGTCTCGCTCTGCCGACCAGGCTGGAGTGCTATGGTGCTATCTCAGCTCAGTGCAACCTCCACCCCGCAGGTTCAAGCAATTCGCCTGCCTCAGCCTCCTGAGCAGCTTGGGACTACAGGCACGTGCCACCATGTCCGGCTAATTTTTTTGTATTTTTAGTAGAGATGGGGTTTCACCATGCTAGCCAGGATGGTCTTGATCTCCTGACCTCATGATCTGCCCTCCTCAGCCTCCCAAAGTGCTGGGATTACAGGCACGAGCCACCGTGCCCAGCCGAATTTTTTCTTTTACACAGATGGCTACACATCACACATTGTTGTCTCCTCTTGACACTATCTTGGGGTGCAGGGTGAGCTGCCGCAGATGTGACAGTGCGGGGCCTGCAGAGGGTTCTGCTGCACACTCAGGTGCAAAGGGTGCCCATGCATCTCCTGGTGTAGTCACCACTTTGCATGTGGGTATGTATGTCTGTGGGCTAAACCTCAGACATGCGATTCCTGGGGCAAAAACATGAAGCTCTAGACTGTAATCCCAGCACTTTGGGAGGCTAGGGAGAGACAATAGCATCAGCCTAGGAGTTTTAGACCACCCTGGGCAACATAGGAAGACCCCTGTCTCTTAAAAAAAAATTAGAACATTAGTTGAGTGCGGTGAAGCACACCTCTGGTCCCAGCTACTCAAGAGACTGAGGTGGGAAGATCACTTAAGCCTGAGAAGTCACAGCTGCAGCAAGCAGTGATTATGCCACTACTCCAGCCTGAGTGACAGAGGAAGACTCTCTCTCTCAAATAAATAAATAAAAATGAAAAAATAGGCTCAACACGGAGGCTCACGCCTATAATCCTAGCACTTTCAGAGGCTGAGGTGGATCACTTGAGGTCAGAAGTTCAAGACCAACCTGGCAAACATGGTGAAACCCTGTCTCTACTGAAAATCCAAGAATTAGCCAGGCGTGGTGGTGCACACCTGTAACCCTGGCTACTTGGGAGGCTGAGGCAGGAGAATTGCTTGAACCGGGGAGGTGGAGGCTGCAGTGAGCCAACACTGAGCCACTGCACTCCAGCCTAGGTGACAGAGTGAGACTGTGTCAAAACACACACACACACACATACACACACACACCTACCTGTAGTTTTGATAATACCAAGGTGACACCAATGCCAATCTTGGGCACTGTTGTGGATGGAGCTTTCTGAACAAATTGTCATGTGATCCCCTAGTAGCCCCAGTAGGTGGGTTTCATTATAAACTCCAGTTTACAGTCCGGGCACGGCGGCTCACGCCTGTAATCCCAGCACTTTGGGAGGGCGGATTGCTTGAGGCCAGGAGTTTGAGACCAGCCTGGGCAACATGATGAATCTCTGACTCTAGTAAAAATACAAAAATAAATAAATAAATAAGCTGGGTGTGGTGGCAGCACCTGTAGTCCCAGCTACACGGGAGGCTGAGACATAAGAATCGCTTGAACCCAGGAGGTGGAGGTTGCAAGTGAGCCAAGATCACGCCACTGCAGTCCAGCCTGGGCAACAGAGTGAGATCCTGACTCAAAAAATAAAATAAACTCCAGTTTACAAAGAACCAGGCCCAGAGAGGCAATGTGACCACAAGAGTCAGAGGACACTGGGGCTGGGTCACCATGAGATGCACACCCACCCTCTGGTCACAGCTCCATTCCCACACGGCCAGGACTGTGAAGTCCCTGTGCCCTGGGATGCATGTCCTGGGGTCTGATCCTCTGTGCCAATGAGTCAGGGCTGCCCGGGGCCCGAGAATCCCCAAGCAGGACTGGTGCCCATGGGTGGGTGTCTGCCATCCGCAGCAGAGCCAAGTGGCCTGTCTGTGATCCCCCTGTAGGGCACTTCTCTGTGGTCTCCAATGGGAATCCATGGAGTCCCAGCAGCCAAGGGAGTCAGGGAAACCAAGGGCTGGAGGTGAGAGAAGGGGTCCGTGGGAGTCTGGTGGCCTCGTCCTTAGAGCCTCCAGAGCCAGACCAGGCAGGGTGTCAGACAGGACTCCCTACAAGGACAGAGCTTGGGAGGGAGAAGGGGCCTGGGGACCTGAAAGGAGCCTGCCTGGCTATTGCTCTGTCTGGGGAGGCTTTGCTGGGTGGGCGGGGCCTGTGGTGCTGTCGGAGCTAGGGAAGCACGAGCAAGGTGCTGCCTGCAGCCTGGCTCTTCCTTGAGCGCTGCAGTCCAGCAGTCATGAAGTTTGCTCCTCTGAGGTGGCTGAAAGGGAACTGAGGGCGTTGGTGTTGTGTGTCTGGGGGCACAAGCCTCACTAACATGACACTTGTGAGTTGGGCCCAAAGGGATTTAATTGATGAATAAACCCTTTCTTCCCACGTTTGTGGCAAAAGCAGAAAGAGGCACGCTCACCTAGTAGTCAATTGGTCGATCAGTGCCATGCTTTCCTGCAGGACCCGGGGCAAAACGAGCCCTAGGATATGAAGAGGAAACTGGCCTGTAACCCCACAGTGATGGGGATGCCCTGGGATGACCCCACGCTGTCCATGCTGACTTAACTTTCCCAGGAGGGTTGGCACCTTTCATTCTCTGGAGCAAAAACACTCAGGACATTCACCCAATACACTGCCTTGTTCCTTCCAGCAGTGATGACTAAGGCGTAGCCTTTACTGTCGAGGGACTCAAAGCAGGGAACTTCCGCTGTGTGACAACATCTATTCCAAATTTAAACTCTGTACTTAAAAAAAAGTTGCAGTGGCTTACGACTGTCATCCAGCACTCTGGGAGGCCAAGGTGGGTCGATCACCTGAGGTGAGGAATTCGAGACCAATCTGACCAACATGGAGAAACCCCATCTATACTAAAAATACAAAATTAGCCGGGTGTGGTGGCGGGTTCCTGTAATCCCAGCTACTCGGGAGGCTGAGGCAGGAGAATCATTTGAACCTGTAGGCAGAGATGGCAGTGAGCCGAGATCACGCCATTGCACTCCAGCCTGGGCAACAAGAGCAAAACTCTATCTCAAAAAGAAAAAAAAAAAGCCGGGCGCGGTGGCTCACACCTGTAATCCCAGCACTTTGGGAGGCTGAGTCGGGTGGATCACAGTCAAGAGATCAAGACCATACTGGTCAACATGGTGAAACCCCGTCTCTACTAAAAATACAAAAATTAGCCGGGCATGGTGGTGCATGCCTGTAATCCCAGCTACTCAGGAGGCTGAGACAGGAGAATTGCCTGAACCCAGGAGGTGGAGGTTGCGGTGAGCCGAGATCGTGCCATTGCACTCCAGCCTGGGTAACAAGAACGAAACTCCGTCTCAAAAAAAAAAAAAAGCTTTGTTGCTCTGATCAACAGAGCAAGACCCCATCTTCAATACGTAAATAAAAAATAAAAATATTTGTTGGCCAGACACGGTGGCTTATGCCTATAATCCCAGCACTTTGGGAGGCTAAGGCGGGTGGATCACGAGGTCAAAAGATTGAGACCATCCTGGTCAACATGGTGAAACCCCGTCTCTACTAAAAATACAAAAATTAGCTGGGCACGGTGGTGCACACCTGTAGGCCCCGCTACTCAGGAGGCTGAGGCAGAAGAATTACTTGAACCCAGGAGGCAGAGGTTGTGGTGAGCCGAAATCACACCATTGCACTCCAGCCTGGGTAACAAGAGTGAAACTCCATCCATCTCTCTCTCTCTCTCTCTCTCTCTCTCTCTCTCTCTCTCTCTCTCTCTATATATATATATATATATATATATATATATATATATTTATTTATATTTGTGAATGTATATTCCAGTAGCAACAAGTATGCCTGGCCCCCA